AAGACAAAAGCCTGATGTTGGGGGCCTGTCAGTGGCTTCTTTTGTGGGAATAGTTTTGTCGTAAGCTGGTGACACACAGAGCTTCTCAAGCCCTGATCTTTGTGTTGTCTGAACACACAAACACCCACAAAGAACCCCATCCCACCCTTATAGGAAAGGTGGATCTGTTGCTAAACTTCAAAGCATTCCAGTGATTGACTGGATAATTTCAGGCCTAAAACAAGTGTTGAAGCCTGTCCCAGCTGACGAGAGAGGGGTACACCCCTGACAGGTCGCAGCTCTGGGCAGTTTTCTCTCATTTTTTTATTTCTGCCGACAAACCTGTTTAAACCGACTGAGAAGCGGTTACATACATGATTATACCGCTTCCCCAACAACAGGCTGCTTGTTTCAATCAACAGGAATTTGAAGTTCACGATCAACAGGGAAGCACACGTTCAGCCACACAGTTTAAAACGTCCTGCCTCGCAAAGGTGAGACCACAGATGTCCAGCTGATACGACACTCAGGTATCGGGCATGAGAGGACACCTAATCCTGAAAGAGCTGAGCTCATGGATGCAAACCGTGCAGCCAGTCAGCTCTGCAAAAACAGATGTGAATCAGAAAAATGATCATGAAGAGAACTGACCATATTCCATATCATTAAGCTGTTTATGTGGGGCTGCATCAAGCATGAGCCTGTCTCCGTGCAAAACTGCAAGCTATCCAGCACAGACCCATGAATCATCTTATATAACAGAGTCACATGACCTAACAGCCTCACACCCATGCCACAGCATCAACTGTTGCTGCCATGATGAAGAACATGTGAACTGCCGTGCCTCAAGCCCACCAATCCAGGGGCTTTGGGCCGAATACACCCATTAGCTGACAGCTCATCTGACCAATGAGGAACCACATTTGGTTGGAAAATAGCTCATATGTCTGCCGTGGCCATAAATCCTCAGGTGCTGAGTATCCCGGCGGTTGGAACTGGTTGAGGTTGCACTGTTTACGATCAGCATCCATACGAAGCCTCACATGTCTCCGCGATGCCTCCAGCACAGACGAGTCTCTCGGATATCCATTCACACCTGTCTTCAAATGTTCCCTCCAAAATTAACCTGCTCTGGCCTGATTTGTGTCAGTAAAGAGGAGATGGGCCCTTCTGCCAAGGAAAGATTAGATGCTTGGATTCAGGAGGCCAGAGGGATGACATGAGTGGATTAGAAACTAAGAGCTGTCATTCAACTCTGAATTCTCTTTATAGCAGCTTTGGGTGTGGAGCTGGAACAGCCACCGGTGTAAGTGGAACTTTATCAGGTGCTTTATGAGACACCAGTGACAGAAAAGGAAATAGGAAAAAGAGTGCTGAAAGAGGTCGCGGCGAGCAAAGTGGGGCAGCTGTCGTTTGGACAACAACAACACGTGTGGCGAGGAACCAGGCATTTGTTTAATGTAAGCTAAATTAAAAGGAACACTTGTGTACACAGTATACAAAGTCCAGCATGCATAGTCACACATAAAAGAACGCGAGGATGCAGGTACAATCTGCTGACACAGTGACCTTACCATATATTATGGAACCAGGTCTGAATATTAGTTTACCTTGACTCAGCAGCTGGAAACTTGGCAAACTTGTGAAATTCTTGGAAAGTCTTTGATTAACTCTGGAGCATCAGAACATGTCAAAGATTAACAAAGTGTCAGAACATATAGCCTCTAAATGTTGCACATACTCCGTCTTACGTGTATCTTGCAGCAAATAAACCTTTCTGCTTCTCCATTGAGTTGGTGTGTTATTGGGATTTCAGAGATTCTACTTGTTTTGTACTTGAACAGTCAGACTTATCTTGAATGGAACTGGGTGAAGTCGTTTATCATCCAACTTCTAAAGGTTAGAAACAGCCTGGAAGAGCTTAAAAACAAGAAGGGTGCATAAAAGAATAAGCCGTGCCGCAGTTTGCAGGAGATCCTGTTTGCCCCCGTGGCCCGGAGGCATGGCCCACGTGTGGCAAATGTCAGAGCCTAACCAGCTGGGAAAGGTGATCTCACCTCTCAGAATTACAGACCTCTGAGTTTGCTTGTCTCAGACCTCAGAAGCACAGAGGAGGATTAAAGCTGGAAAAAAGCTTAGCTACAGGTATTCTTACAGGATATTTGAAAATCTGACAGGTGCTTTCCAGAAACCCTCTCTGCAAACTCTGCCCACTTAATTGGTTGAAAGCAACCCCAGAAATCCTTTAACAGATTAAATTACCAGAAAATATCTGAAAACCCTTTAATGAAAAAAAAACTAACACCAGGGATAACTCCCAAAGGGCAACTAAGAAGAAAGCATGCAGCATTGAAAATGTGGGTAGTGAGAGCCCAACCCGCTGCTTATTTCCAGCTCTGGCTCCCGTTTCCGATGGTATTCTCATAAGCATTCCCCGTCATTACAGACAGGAAATCGGCAGATCAGTGGCCCTGCTCTGCTCACACAGCGGCTCAGTTCAGACTGCGCCCATAACCAGCACCAGGGGATTAAAACAACATTCCCATACAGTGGGTTCTGATTAACAAAGGGGACAGTCTGGGCCCAGATCGAACCCTTTATGAGGGGATTTATCAACGCGGAAGAGCTTTGTCATTGGGCGTCATCTCATCCATGGGAATTCTTCACATGTGCTGAGTCACAACTGACATGTGTCCAAACACATCAATAAGTGTGTGCACTTGTGATAAGAAAGTTTAAATTGAAAAAAACTGATGCATGATGATGACAGCGTAAATGGAACAGAATTTGGTTTTAAATATAAATCTGAAATCTATCATATTCAAGCCCGAATTGTCTTTCCTGTATGTAAGGAGGAAGAAGAAGTCAGATTGCCAAATGATTTCTAAACATACTTGCTTACGGTGCAATAGCTGTGGTTAACCATGTGGCTGAGTTACTCACTCATAACAGACCGTACTTTATATTTTGGTCTTTACTTCACTCCACTGTCCTGTGGGTTGTATCCAAACACAACAGCATAGATTCAATAAAGTTTGCACTTCTTCTTAAAACAGGGGAGGTGTTTTTTTAATCATTTTTAGGGAGAGTTAAAAAAAGCAGAAATGTTATTTTTGGTTGAAAACTAACTACAGGCCTTTTCAAGCCACTGACTCTGTGTGTCTTTCACAGACCAGGGCAGTTCCTGAATGGTGATAAATTCCAGCCGTAGATTGGCATTTGGCACCACTCAGTTCAGGACTTATTGACATCTGTGACTCCCAAAAGTACCAGGAAAGAACAACTGTTTCTGTAAAAGGATTGGAAACCAATACATTTAAATCACTCAATTACAACAAAATCGTATCACTTCAAAATGTTTGGAACTTATGTTACAAAAGTAATGAAGAAAATACATTCTGCAAAAGATATTCTTTTTAATATCTACCAGACATAAGTGTCTGCCCTCTGGCTTCTCTATAATGTCGATGATCATCAGCAGAGCTAACCCACTAACTATTATTACCAGTGAACACACGTACATATTTGGTAACTCATTAATTTCCCGTTCTGACAGAAGTTATCGCCCCTGACCTGTAGCGGTGATAAGCTTTTTGTGCCATTTGCTATAGGTTGTGCGGTTAAAATGCTGGAAAAACACAGATAGAGAGATCATCGAAAAGGAAATTTGTTATTAGAGTTAAATGCGTAATACCCTCAGTGGCAATCATTTTAACTTTCAAATCATTTCCACATTTAGAAGGCCAATTTTCTTACCAGATAAGGATTTAAGGAAGGAAGTTTTTAAATTTACTAACAAACCAATAGATAAAGTGTCAAATTAGAAATAACATAAACGACTAATGCTCATGAGTGAATCCTTTTCTACTTTTTTTTTGTTTTTCTGATGGGATGACATCAGCTGCAGACATAAAAACATGAGCCCTGTGGGGCAAAAAAAAAAAAGAAAAAGTCAACCTTTGAGCCCATAAATAGAAAAACAAATAGCTTTTCAATCCAGAGATAAGCAGCTTTACAGAAAATCCTAACAAAATGGGGGCCAGAGGGAGATAGGAGAAAAAAAATCTAAGTGATTAGGAGACAGAACATGGCGCCCTACATCACTGACATAACAGGTTAAAGGGCTGAGAAACAGGGACACAAGACTGTTGCTGAAATCAGCAAACTGCCACTTCACAGTTAGTGATCAGCACTTCAGAATGAGCTCAGAGATTACTTGAAGAGTTGACATCTAGTTATTAGAAATGCCATCAATGCACTGGTTGATTGTTAGAGACTTGGTGGTGGCAGAAGATGAAATTGGGTGCCTGTGACTGTGCTGCTGTCCTGGATGTGAGGGGCGATGTGTGCTCCGCAGCACGTTTAAAGGCAGCCACAACACAGGCTCCCCGTGCAGAAGTCAACCCAGAACCAACCCCCATCCGCAACACGCTCCAGCCAGGCACGTGCACGCTGCCGTCTCCCCAGCCTGACTCAGCCAACGATACTGCTTTGTGACCCGACCTCAAAGCTATAAACTTAAACAGCGGCGTCTTTTCAAAAGGCACGGTCTATTACAAATATATGTGTTTTACTCCGATATGTTGCTTTTACTTTAACTACAAGATGTGGACACGTGTGCACCAGCTGCAACCACACGCCATCATCTCCGAGTGTATTTTGGGATGTCTTAAGCTGCCATTAGATTTAGGAATCTGAACTTGCATAAAGATTAAGAAAACCCTCTTGTGACTTTCTTACAGCTTGTTTGTTTGCTTTGGTTCTCACGACAGAGAGAAAGTAAGAAGGATATTTATGCATACAAGGAGCAGTTTGGTTGAAAATATACAAAAGAGGATTTATTTTTCAAAAAGGAATTCCATATTTTTATTATGTCAAAGCAGATAACTCCTGTTTCTGCACAGTCACCATGCGCTGGTTTCAACTTGGAAGGGGTTTGCGTCTTTCTTAAAATAGATTAACAGAAGACAAAAAAGACTGATTGTACAATCCTCCGGTGAAAAAAAGACAGAGAAAAAACATTTCTTTAAAAGTGTTTATTTCAAACACAAAGCAGCATCAAAATACGAAATATTCTTACAGAGATGAGAACATTTTTAATGAGGCAAATCACTCCTCGTCGAATGAACATTTACAGTACGTTGTGATATAAAACCAAACTTTACATTCATTGTCCCAAAATAACATTTCCACATGATTGTGCAAACTGTTTAAAACAATCAACACGCATGGAAGGGCCACAAACTGCTACACAGATACAGCACAATGTTCAACACTCACACAAGCTGAGAATATTCAAAAGTGCATGAGACACTGAAATAAGAAAATGGATGACAAAAGGTGACAATCATGAGAAATTGAGCCTTACAGTCCTGCGAGTGTCCAGCACCACCTACAGTTTTCATTCCAAACTCTTTGTTTTGCGCAAAACTTTGCCTTCACCCTCAGAAATCTACAGAAACGTCTCACTAACATAATTTCTCCTCATTGCAACCTTTTAGGTCACCTTTGGGCACACTTCCTTTTGTTAAAGGACACATATTGATCCTCGGGTCCACATTCCCCACCAGTGACCTCATCCCCATCCCTTTGTCTCTGCGCCACAAAACTGGGCTGATTATCGTGACGCATAACCGGCCGGCCAATGGGCGCCCTTCGTTAGGGGTAGTGTCCTCATGTTGCCCTCGCCGAGACGCCAAAGTGCTTTCGACCCAGTAACATGCCTGGGTTAGCAAAGGGGGAGGAGCTTGTGGCGTGGGCAGAGGAGGCACGTGGCACCCAACGAGGTCTAAGACTGTCACAGGGCATCACATCAGCCTGTGAGCAGGCATGCGCACTTTTTAAAACCACCCTGCAAAAGGGGGGGGGTAGTGCAGAAAAACAGCTGCGCATCTCCCTCAAATTTGGGCATTCAGTAAGCTGCAGCTACAGATCCACACCACTGACACCCTACAGTAAACTCTGTTCACACAGGGTGGATCTAACCTCGACCGTCTAGCTGTCCTTACTTTCTGTTCCAACCCCCAAAAATCTCCAACCCTTGTCCAAGATTGTGATGGAAGACAAAGCTTCTTGGAGCTGGATCCTTTCAAAAACCGCTCTCCTCAGGCCTGGCCTTCTCTTTCTTAACAGGCGCACTACCACCAAAAAAAAAAAAAACGCCGCCTCACTTGAAGTGAGGCCCGGCGTGCGCACGGCGCTCACCACATCCTATTGCACACGGACGACACCACAGACTCTGATACAGGAAACACTGCAGCTCCGTGCCAGCCTCGGGACCGTTTCAGCTCCACTCAGAGACTGCCTTCACGGCTCAATAACTCATGATCAAACATCCACTGTGCAGCTTTCAAAAATATTCACAGCTTTATTAAATCATTACAAAAGAAGGAGTACATTCAGTAATCAATAAAAACAAGACTTGTTAATTGTTGTTTGGATTAAAAAGGTCTGCGCACACACACACATGCATTTCAGCAAAGTTGAATGTTTGCATCATGAGTAGATCCTGTTAGACAGGTTCTGCGCATGATCACACAAACGAGACTTAGATTGTTAAAATGATGAATCACAAAACAAAAAAAACAACAAAAAAAATCAGGTGGTGAGTATTTTAACGTCCCTTTGCAGATCCCCTGTTGCATTTTAAAAAGGGCTTCTGCAGTTTTGTGCAAATATTCACTGAATTTTGGAGACACTAACATGTATGGACGCTGACGGCCGTTTTGGACACAGATCCTGGTCTGCTCATAGGGTTCAGGAGAAAAACCGAAATATTAAAATTGGATTCATCTAACCCCTCGTCCTTCTTTCGCACTACTGGTCTGCCATCACTTCATTACAAGGTACAGTCAGCCCTCCCTTTAAGAGGATTCGCTTCCCTTTCAGGACAGGTTTAGTTTCACAGTTAAGCTTTGTTTGTTTTTTTTCCTCTTTGTAGCTTAGAAGAGCATCAATGGCGTTTTGCATGCGTGTACCACTGTAATGACTAATGTTCAGACCCAATCTGGCAGTCAGCTGGTTTTTCACCCTCCCAAAACCGCTAAAACCTGTTCCCTTCGTGACCCCCCGAGTGAGCAATCCCCGCAAATCCCCGAAGGCCGTGGCAACAAAAACGTGTGAAAAACCCGCCGAGCGGGAGCCCCGAAGGCTCTGGCCCCGCGGCGTGTGAGGGGTCCCGGAAAGTCAGTGTCTGGGTGCGACTGTGAATGAGGTGAGAAAAGTGCTGTCCGGAGAGGAGCCGCCGCCGCCACCTCCTCGCTTAGCCTCCTCCGCTTCTCATTGGTTGATCCGTCATCTCCACGCAGGGAGCGGTCGCGTGTCTTCAGGGCGCAGGCTGGACGTGGACCTTCTCCGTCATCTGTTTGGCACTGTAGTAGGACAGGCTCAGGCCCATGATGGCCAGCATCATGGCGATCTGGTTGACGGCACGGTCCTGTGGCTGCGTCTGCACCTCACCGGCCACTTGCCTCTAAAAAGGACAACAGAAAAACAGCGAGAGAGAGAGAGAGAGAGAGAGCAAAAAAGACATTAAAAAGGTCAGAGATCAAGCAAACTGATTCGGAGGTCAACTGAAATATTCAACCCTGATTAGCTGGACAAGCAAACTTTCAAAGTCCTCTACCCCGACAGACTTCTTCCGTCAAACCCCCGAGTGACCAAATCTTTGGCAAGAACAGGCATTTAAAAAAACAACATTAGGAAGGAAAGATACTTAAAAAGGACACACAATGTACCAAAAACAGTGTTGTATAAGGAGGAGAAACTATGCAACGACGCTCCAACATCTAGGTCATGCCCAGCGTAGGTGTTTTCACATCGACAGCCCACCCCCCCCACCCCCACCCCGCTCCCCACGAGCCGTTTAGGGCTCCAAGCAATGAGATCCAAATGTCAGCGATTTAGCAGCTCAGGCAGCAGAGACAGCTGCACACGGTGCAAGATGCAATGCCCCTCCAAGAATTAATATCTGTTACAGGAGATAATGGCCGACTAATATCGATGGTAGGCTGAGCTGTAGCTTTAAGACGGAGCTGAGGACGCTCGCATTTACAGACACAAATGTGTCAACGAGGAAATATTCACAGCAAACACCACAAAGTTATTAGCACCCCCCCCCCCCCCTCACCCAAAAAGTTTAGGAAGTATTCAATAAAAAGTGTCTCCTTGACATGGTCTGTTACTGTTGATAAAAAATATAGATCTAATTAAATATCTAAAACCAATAATCCATACACACACACACACATATAGCCCCCGAAATATAAATAAATAAATAAATAAATAAATAAATAAATAAATAAAAGGCATAAAATGTGTTCCCGTTATGTCAAATGTTTTGCAACTGCCAGTCATTTTCCATGTTCTGTGAAGCCCCGTGACGGGACAGTTTTTCTGCCCAAATTAGGCTAAATAAGAGAACAAAAACTTCCACACAATGGACGTGACATGTGCAAGGGCGCTGCTGCTGAATGGATTATGACAGCAGGAGGAACAAAAGCTGCCGGGGAAACTATCACAGTGATTAACGTCGCCCCTAATTAATTAGTGATGAAAGCAGATAGAGGGTCACTCAGCAGAAGACATGAGCAGAGAATGAGGGCCGGGGATGAGGGGTTAGTGGCAACGATACGCAATTACCAGCATGTAGAGCGAATAGCTTCAACTGCAAAGCAGCTGGTTTTCATTTAGCCAAAGTGATGATTCACAAAGTATGATTAAGATGCACATACCTGGAGGAGGCGGAAGTATCCAGGTGTCAGTCTGCCCAGTCTGATGATCATTTCTGCTGGTGTGAGGTGGCTGATAGTGAGGGGAGTGCTGGGGTGGTGCAAATACCTGCCAAAACACAGAGAAATCACACATGAAGGATGGAATGTAGCATATATTTAGAGGGCTACATTAAAAACCGGTAGCGTCACTTGAGCTTTGCGCAACTTCATTTCAATGCAAAGTACAACTTGCAAAAGACTTGGAAATATGCCTGAAAATATCTGCATGAGGAAGGACCATCCTTCGCCTTCGGCATGGCACAAAGCGCCGCCGAGCGCTGCTCAAATACCAAAAACACGCAGAGAAAAGCCATGTGTCATCGGGACAACTTTAAGATTTGTCCCGTGTTGCACACTTTGTTTCACGCTTTCAAAAATCGGGAAGACCCCTGATCTGCGGAATCAGGGGAAGATCCCCCACTCCGGCGTTATTAAATTATCATGTTTGAACCAGATCTGGGACAAAGAAACAGAGCCACCATTCAGGCTGCGTCATACTCTGACACAGCAAAGAGAAAGAGCATTTCTCTGGTTCAGAGTGGGGAGGTGTTGCTGCACGCAGCTGGACAATGATGCCTCTGACGGACCGCAGAAAGCCGTCTGGGGGAATGGCTGGCCAACCATTACAGAGGCTAAAAGAGAGAAAAGAATAACCGGGTCTGAAGAAGAACGTGTACAGTGACTCACAGCGACAGTGCTGCGAATCACGGGAATAGATTTTTGGGAAGTTGCAGGAAAGACTAAAGGGGACGATGAGGGCAAAACATATGTGAAGCATTATATCCAACCTGGTTTGAGTTTCACAGTTAAAAAAAAAGAAAAGAAAAAAAACTTTTGATCCAAGCTTTGAAAGTTGCCCCTTTACAAAAAAAAGAGAAAAAAAAAGGAACGCCTGTCACAAAAAGCCCTCGTGATTTCTCACCTTCCGAATAAAAAGGAGGAAAATATCCGTCCACCTGGGGCAACGGGACCTTCTGCTTCCCCTGCAAAGCTCAAGATCCAAACTGATGCCAAAACAGGGGATGAACTTGAACTAGTGAGAGAGCTTCTGCGCTCCGCCTTTCCATCCAGTCCCGCTCTTACCCAACCAGACCTTCAGGCTCTCCTGGAGCACACGCCCACTGCTAAAACACAAACACGGCTGTCCAAATCTATTACTCTCAGTGGGCCGCTTTCCCCAACACGCCCCTTCCAAAACAAGAACCGTCGGATGCGATTTGCCCATTTTAGTTGACACAAGGTAGAGAGATTAATAGGAAATCACACAGAGCAGGACAATGCACTGTCCGAGCTCCCATGTCCGAGTACAGGGTTACACAACCACTCAGGCCGGGGCAGGAATTGGATGGGACTCGCCATGAGGAACATGGAAACTCTGAATATCGATTATCTCATTTTAGATTTCGCTTTCAAACCACATGGCTGCCTTACATGAAAAATTTACATTTCACTTTGTCTTTAAAAAAGGAGAAGCAACGTTCATGTTCACGATCAAGCAGCCTGAATGGGTCTGAACCTGTCTTTAAAAAAGAAAACTAAAAAAAAAACTGTGGATCGGTTCCTACAGCAGGAGTCAATTTCAGCTCGTGAGGGGCGCCATACATTCTATACAAGTCCAACTTTGAATAAACACGATAAAAAGCAGTTAGTGAAGAACGCCTCTGGTAAGAAGAGCTCGCCACAGGAAGTGTATGATTAAGAGATTATAGCCAGAGATATCCAGCATGTCTACATTAATCTAATATAATAACCCTTAAACAAAGAAGTCTGAGACTTCAGGGATTTTTTTTTCCTTTTTCAAGTTTTAAACAGAGTTCATTGAAACAAATCTGAAACCGTGAGAATAAACTGTTCTCTGAAAAGCGTGTGAACCGTATCCGTATCTTTTGACCATCAAAATTGTATAAATGTGATCCATCCAGGGCACAAAAATAAATTAAATTAACAGAGGCAGAAGATTAGGTCATTTATACTCCAACATTGCTACGAGAAAAGAAAAAAAAGGATTTGCTTGCGCTTCGTTTCCAGGTAAATGTGAACTGTGAGTTGTTTTATAAAGTAGGAGAAATCGGTCTGGTTTCTGTCCCCTTTCTGTAAAACTATAAAGTTCAGCTCCCCCTGGAGAGCCGTTCCTGGTTTGAGAGACGAAAACTCCTCCAACTGCCCTTTGCTATAGGTTAGATACCAGACAAAAAAAACTTGGCATCCATGTACAAAGGGGCAGATTTCACCATGTTGTGCTTTTGTGATGGCGAGAGACGCATGCAGACACTGCTGCTGCGTGCATCTTTGTCTCTCCTCTTGTCTTCCCTGTGCTTTTAAAGGAAAACACCATCTTCTGCTGGAGAAGCGCCACAAGCGTGAAACGTGAGGCCGGCCGTGCAGGAGGGCGTCACTCCAGAACACCATGTACTCTGGAAGGAGCCCTGTTGCTGCCATGCTCGCACATGGTCTCAGCCACTGAAAATCTGAACGTATTACTCCTCACTGAGTGGGAATTACCCAAAAAAATAATAAAAAAATGGAGAAAAAAAACCCACAAAGCTGAAACAGAGGGACATCTGTGCCTCACACCTCGTGTGTCGCCGCTCCAGAACATCTCGAGGACATTTCTGGACTGCGAGGCACGCGTAAAATCGGCTCCAGAACTGGGCCCACTTCATTTACATCAACCCAGGTTGTTAAATTAAGCGACTGACCACATAACAAAAGGAGGACGGTGAAGACGAAGACACCTAAAAACCCAGAAGAACTGGGCCGCAGAGCAACTTATCATCAGGAATTTTATTTCTCGTGTTGCCCACCCCCACCCCCCCGCACTCCTGTCCCCAAATGTGTTGGAAATACTGAACCCCCTGAACAGAAGAATGCGTGTGCTCAACATGCCGTCGCCTCCTGCTCACATTCAACAGGCATCGCAATTTCACCTCATCACGTGGCCCCCCCCGACATGTTAGAGTGTGTATACTTCATATTTCTCCCGGAGATCAGGTTGGAGTAACCGTATACCCTGTCCCATGTCCATCTAAATGCGCTACCCAAGTAGAAATTAATACAGCAAATGAGGAGTTAAACGGAGCTGCCACATCTCTATTCGTTTGTGGCATCTCGAATATTTGGGGCATAATGTGAGCTGCTTCAAACATGCAGCGACTATAACAAATAAAAAAAAAGTTTAAAAAATGGATCTAGAATGTCAAGTCTGAAATGAGGAGGAGTCTGTATCAGGGAGTGGCTCATGTCACGTCCTGATCCCAGTCCAGGTGAATCATCTGTGAACAATTCATGTTCGCCTGAAGCCTGACATGAAAGCATGAAGGCGTTTCCCCAAACGGGCATCTCCCCATGACCACATTTTAAAGCATGCGGTGGGGCAGCTCTGAGCTGACCGTTTGGCATGAGGGCACAGACACATCTAAGTTTAAAATGTATGGGACGAAAGACGAGCAGCATTTATAACATGAAGCAATATAGAACTCCTCAACGCCTCCTTACCGTCAGCAAAAAAAATATATGTATACATTTGATAATAATTTATATCTAAATGATGGTTAAAAGCTCAACACCAACAAGCACCAGAAGCCTTTCAAGCATGCTTCAGGTCCATGAATATTACTCGGTACACCATGTACTTTACATCGAACAGCCAATGAAATTCCAGGAGGAGGCCATTCATCCCATCTCGTCCCGCCTCCCGGTGTCACTTTCTGCCCCCCCGCGGAGCGGAGCCCCATCCCCCTGCAGAGCGTGTCCGACGGCCGTGTCAAAGATCGGAACATCTGCAACCGCAGCACAACTATTGACTGCGTTTGGGAAAAAAAAAAACCCAACACAATCCCCGGCTTCAGCCGCTCAGCATTACATCATCACTGTTAATCTGGCCGTCTAGTCATGGCAGTTGCCCCCGCTACATCTGTGACTGTAGCGTGTGCTGTGTGAACCAACAAGCGGAGCTTCTCTGCTGCCACTATGGAGCAGCAAACAAAAAGAAAAAAAAAACTCACTACAGCTGTTAATCAAGAACTCATTAATCTCCCGTGCACTATTGTCTAAAAAAAAAATGTGTGGGCAACAAGTCACACCCTCTAAACCACAAATATTTTAAATACTTGACAAGATGAGAAACCGGAATAAACACAGTGGAATCGTTTTTCCGTCAGAAAAGTTGCTCAGAGTCTCATTTTTGCGTGTTTTTTCAATTACCGATTAATTGAAACACCCTGCGGCCCTTTGTGTAAATTTAAAAAGGGCAGAGAACAATACTTTATTCTGCATATATCTCTGAGGCAACAAAAAGAGCACACACAAAAAACCCAAATGGCATCAGGCCAGAAAACAGAACATGATTTAAGACCTCTTAAGACTTCAAAAGTGATCAACAAGGTGTCTGTGGGCAGGTAACAGCAGACCCAGCCTCCATTTTAAGCCCCATCTATGAAGGCAACATGGATCTACAACAGTTAACTTATTTTTTTTGCTTTTTAGAGCACTCCTGTAGTGACAGAAAACATACAAAAATACAGATCTCAAGCCAGTCCGATGGCCTAATCTGAAGTCAGCAAGGGAGCGAGTTCAGCTGAAGAAAAAAAAAAAAAAAGAAATAAATCATCCTCAAATCCAATCTGTGATTAACAGAGATTTTTTTTTAAGACAATCTACTCTTGCAGGAGTCATCCAAAAAGGGAAAACCTGAGATTTAAGTGCACTTTACACCAAAGCTGCAGGACCCAGGAGCTGCCGTACGTAGGAGCAGACCTACTGTGGCCGGGTACACAATGTACAGAAGAGAGGGCACACACAAAGGAAGACTTGGTGTGAGCACAGGCAAGCAGCAGCTGGGAAAAAGGACTAACTAATGCATGTTTCAACATTTAATATTTCATATCTGCAAAAAATTTAGCCACAAATGAGGGGAGGGGGGGGGGGCAAAAAAAGGCTATTAATGCCCTGCTGTGGTAATAAAGAATTGCCCCCAATTTATCCCCAACTACACGTTTTTTTTAAACAGCTCATTGGTCTTTTGGGCCTAACAAAAAGGACAAAGAGTGACAAACTCAACATCTTTTAAAAGTAGGAAAATAAATCCTGGTTTCTTATCAGTCATGGGCAAGTCCTTTTTTAAAAAAAAATGAAAAAACACAATTCTTAAAAGAAGCCCTTAGTCCAAATCACCAATTGTACAGCAATGAATTGCTCACTCTGGGCAGAATGTTTAGTTCCACGGAGCAAACATTTAAACCTCCACAGGAGACACCCAGCTGTTGGTCCCCTCAGTTTCCCTGACATCCCATTTATTACTCGTTGAGTTTTTTATTTATTTATTTTCGGCTAAGAAAGGCGACTTTTGAAACAGTTACTCAAGCAACACCGGGGTGGAGAAAAAAAAAACCCCCACAAAGATTCGCCCGTCGACCGTGGCCAGATGTTTAAAAACATAAATCACCTAAGTGGATGGAGATGAGCAGCCAGTGTCCGCGGACACGTGGAGCGCGTCGGGCTGAGTTGAACAAGAAAATCAAACGAGACAAAACCACAGTAACTTTCACTGCAAAGGCAACACAATGCTGTTTTTTTTGTATTTGTTATTTTGTTTCTTTCTCTAAAACCCAACGCTGTCTGCATCCATAACTTATTTCCCCCCCAAAAGCCAGAAGCGGGGCGCCTACCTGCAGCGGGTCGGGGTGTGAGGACACTTTTCGGCGACGATCTGTCGGCGTGGGAGTGATTTGAACACTGTGTTCGCTTTTGAAAAGTCTCTATATAGGAAGCCTGCACATGTTCAGTGTGTGTCCGGGAGGGGGGTGGGGCCCTCTCCCTCTCCGAGCATGCTGCCGCTCATGAGAAATCCATACGTGCGCCTACCCCCCCCCCCAGTCAGGAGCAATGGGCTCGTCCACCGTGGCGTGCGTGTGCCCAGCGCGCAGGAACATTGTGTCTTGTGTCTCTGCTGTGTGATATAGGGTGGAATACCCGTACGTGTCAAGTATGTGAGGTTTAAACACCAAACAAATACATAAAAAGTGGCTCGGAACCGGCATATAGGGGGGGGGGGGTCAGGGGGGGGAATGTTCCTGGAGAAAACGTGGACCAAAGGTGATGCTTTCATTGCAAAATTGTTTCTTTCTTTTTTTAAGTGTCTCTAAATCCAACACCGGTGATGGAAACCTCAAAGCAGTCTGCGCGCAAACCAGCCAGCTGTTGAGATTTCATAACCTTCCACAGCACGTGCCACGCGTGCGTTTCCATTTTTAAGTCACTTAAAGGACTTCTTGTATATCTCGACTTGAGCTAGTCTATTTAATCTGCAGGTCTTGGGGTCAAAGAAGACCCCTTCAGAGTGCAAAGCGCAATTAAGTCGAACCAGGCGGTTCTTTAAGAAGAGACCAGTCAAAGGTTTCCTCAAACTGTTCTGAGACTCCATATCGCACAAATTTGGACTGTGGTGGGAAATTTTAGACGGACCTCCCTTTAAATGCAGCATTTAACTCTTTTTTTTTTTCCTTTTGCTCATTTTGCTACATCCCTTCAGAATGACTTATTCTAATTTTTGTATCAATACAAGTCTCAAACATCTGTGAAATATCTCCTTCTGTCCCAGCAGATGGGACAAACTCATCCCCAAAAACTCCAATTTAAAGTATGGTTAACTTAAAAAATTGTATCAGACATTTCTCATTGTGTATATTTGCTGCACGTGCCTGTTTTATATCAGTCAGCTTTCTGAACACTTTCAACTGGAACAGAAATCTTGGCCTGGTGCTCAGAGGAGCTGCCTGGAGTCCCTTTGTCTGCGTGCATTCCACCTGAAAAGCCTTTTGTCCTACACTGTGCACCCTGCAGAGACTAAACCAGGAGATTTCTGCAACCTTGCTGAACGGTGGCTCTTTCTGATGGGGTTCTGACGGGTGGGTGCAGATTTGATGGGGCTGGCGGCTCATTATGTAAGGTTTGACAGCATATAGGAGCAGTTGTGTCCCAGCAGCCCTACAGCCTGCGTGACCCTTCACATGCTTCCCCGGCTATCACCTTTCACCCAGCCAGGCGCTGCCGTATGTGGAATCACATAAAGGTCGGTAGGGATGACAGAAGAGGTCGCTACTCGAAAGTGTGATCGTAAACCTCCTCGTTTCACCGATCCCACCCAACAGGGGGGCCGGGTATTCTTTCCTGTGACTCAGCCAACGTAAGACGACTTCCGCATTTTCGCGTTTGGCTAAAACACAGCTTATTTACAGCTTTGTAATCGGAAAGAAATATTTTCCATCCATGCATTTTTCTTTGCCCACTGGATCTGATTGGGGGTCACAAAGGGGCTGGGGACCATCCTCGCTGTCATTAGATGAGAGGACCTGGTGACCTATAGACGGGTCACCGGTGCATCACACAGACCAACAGCCACGCACACTGCCGCTTAACCCGGGTTTATATGGAATAATCAAATTATGGTTGAAGGAAGCTGGAATCCACGCATTCACGGAGGGAACACACAGATTCCACACAGAAAGGTCCCAGCCGGGATTCAAACCGGGAACTTTTTTGCTGTGTTGGCCTCCGTGCAGCCAATGATTCTTACTGGATCCCCCTTTTTTTTAGGTAACAGTTAATAACTAAAGGATTTTGAAGGTAAAATCTGAGTAAATGTATGGTGAACTGAACAGTCAGTGGAGCTGGTGTAGTGGTCTCTATCTTTTCTTTTACTCCTTCTGCTTCCTGAACAAAGTCTCACGGTGCAACCTTCACCAAAAGTACCAGTACCAGTGACAGGAAGACAACTCAGAATTATCTCTTTGTGGTCTGGAAGTATAGAAGATTTTGTGGAATAATCTGTGTCTGCTCCTTCCTGCTGAATGGATGCTGATAGTTCTAATCCCAGAACTGTACAGTATTTATTTTTTACTTGTACGATATTGTGTCCTGATACCGGACTGCTACGCCAACTTTGAGGATGAATAAAGTAATCTATCTATCTATCTATCTATCTATCTATCTATCTATCTATCTATCTACATTCCAGCAGCCAGGTGTTCACTCCTTTTCTCCTACACCAGCTGCTTTTTTCACTGCTTTATTTAGAGTTGCCCTCGTGTCAGACTGTGAAAATGCGCCGGATGTTTTTTAACTATTCGACTGTGCCTTGTGAATAATTTAATCACAAAGAGGGAACTAAACTAAAGGAAGGAAGCAACGCTTCAACAATATGACCAATAGAGGACAGATATACTGACGTCTGCAGCACACTGTTCCAGAGTCCCATCGTTAGTTCTACCTCCTTCAGTTTCTCCTTCAAACACTGTCAAAAGACGACTGACGGAAAAGTGATTTCTTTAGAGGTTTGGGCTGGAAAAAAAAATCTGAATGGTGCACATGCCAACTGACAGGAAAACTGAACTTCTAGCAGTGTGAGATCATTTTAATGGAGCAAATAAACAGCATAAAGGCAAACAAATTCAGGATTTTTTTACCTTGAATGTCTGCTTAAGGTTCCACATGCTGCCGGAAGTGTTTTTACTCGATGCTTTCCAGGAAATATGCAAACTAATAATAGCTGGCTCAGCACTTTTGTCCAGAATTGTCACGTGTGCACATGTCCCAAAGTGGAATATTTCATTTAATCAAGTACATCAATAGTTTCTTCTGTTGGTGCCTCCAACATGTTTTACAACAGGAATTTGAAACAAAAGAGAAAACATACAATATATAAACTACTACCTGCAGACATGTAGAAATGAATGAATGAATTAGTCATTCAATTATAGCATTCAAGTGTGGTATTATTGTTGGTGGGCCAACATTACAGTGTCAGAATAAAAACAAACATACAAGAGTATGTGGAATATTTACACAAAGCCTTTTACTGCAGGTTTATTGTTTATCTAACAAAGGAAAAACAGAAAAGTTACAGATTGACCCATATTTTTAAACCCCGGCCCTTGTCTAATCTCATTGAAGTTAAATGTTAGTTATCAAACCAAGAAACGCCCTCAGCTGTGTTTGCAAACACAGCGAACGCGTCATGTTTGACCCAGTTTGGGCGGAATCTGAACAGAGGGAGACCTCCGTCGGAACAAAGGCGCATACGTCATTTAGCTGGGGTGGTGCGACACCGCCCCCTGCTGGCGGGGGCCCGCAAAGACAGGGACGCGCCTTTTTTAATCCGCGTCAGGCACAGAAAAACTGTTAGCAATTTACTGGCTCGTTTTCACAAGAAATATATTAACATACATTCGTCGTTTAATGATACATGACGATGAATCTGTCATTTTAGACTACTCGTTTGCTATTTTTGCATGTGGTTACATTTCTAAAAGTGATAGAAAGTAAAGCTTCACATCTGGAGTTAATGGTGTGTATTCAAGTATTGTGGTTATTTAAAAAGACACAATTTGTTATTTTTAATGTCAGCCTTTATTATTTTTGTGGATGTCAGCAGGATGATTACTACAAAATTAAGGTTAGCTGTATATTGCTTCAAATGTACCTGACATGCAGATCCCACCATAAAGCTGATATATTAACTAATCGAATAAAAAGTAACAAAAAGACTAAGACGGAATCTAATGTATGTTACTATGAAAATTAAAAATGAAGAAAAAAAAGCTTACTAAATCACAGCTGAGAGTTATGAACTGTTAAGCCACACTGTAAACATTTATTCTCCTGGCAGAAGAAATGAGAACTATGGTTTTGTCAGAGGGAGATGGGAAATAGTAACATTTTCAAACCTTTTCATGTTTGACTTAAATCTGTAACATGTGCCTGGTGTTTTTGATCAAATCCAAGCACCTCATATAATTGTTCAAACATTTTTCTTAGCAGATGAAGCAGTTACTAAATAACTTGTATTAAAAGAATGAAAAGAGTAGCTCTTATGGTTGGCTTATCTTTTTAAAGAATTTATTAAAAAAAGAAGCTTTTGTTTTGGCAGTGCTGATCATTGTCAACTGAGCAGGAAAAGAAAACATTTCCAAACCACACTGAAACCGTTGATCATTAGAAATACGTCAAATCAGCGTTGGGTCATTCAGCGGACGTTCCTGAAACAGCGTACTGAGCCACGTCCCTTATTACTTTCTTTTTTATATTTTCACAACCTGAAAACGGGATCTGGTGTGAGTCTTGAGTACAAATGAGCCAGCATGGATGTCCTGACAAACAGGAGGAGGCTGTTGTGATGATACCATATTCAATGCTCTTGTTTTATGTGTTTGATGCATTAAGAAAGAAGAGTGCAAAAAGGACATTTAAGATTTTTTAATTCAATAACATTTAGATCAACCACTGAAGTCAGAAAAGCTTACTTTTCTCCTAACAGAAACATAACTTAACAGAACTTTTCATCAGATTCACATCATAAGTGTTTTGGAGTCTATCAAACTTTGACCTAATGACAGTAATTTTCTGTGGCATTTTAACTAGATCTTATGTCAACACACACTGTTTCAAGACATTTGGTAAGCAATTGTTTCATTAGTTAAACATTACAATACGATGAGATAAAACGCAATGTTCCTATTGTTTTGCAATTTTAACCGTGCTTTAGCTGCCTTATGTTTACAAGATTCAAAATCCAACTTAAAAATATCTATTCCTCAGCAGTTTCAAATTAAACAAAAACAGATTAGACAAACTAAAAATGCCACGTCTACAAGATATGGACGGTAATCGTTTTAAAATTTATATAAAATGGATATGAATGTGAAAACAAAAGTTTTGTTACATCAAGTGCAAGCCCAAAACAAACCTATAAATGACATTTGTAATATAAAACTTGGTAAAAAATACTTATTTAAAACTGTACAATCACCAAGTACACAGAGTGAGCACATCGACCGTCATTTATTTGGCTTCGGTGGCTTCTGCCTTTGGCTCCTGCAATAGACAAATGGCACATTTCAATCAACAAACATTTTCCACTAAGGAAACATAACATTTATCAGATTCATTACGAAGATACTGTAATAATCCGGACATGTTTGTTATAAATGTTAGGGAAGCTCTAAAAACATACAGAAAACACACGTTTTACCTCCGTATATCCTTTAACTTTTGTTTTTCCTAACATATGTGCTCTCAAAGGAACAACTTAAAAACAGTGTGATAAGAGGAACACAGACACATTTTTAAAGCAGCAACATACCTCGGCCTTGGTGTTTCCATTCTCAGCTGGCTTGGCCTTCTTTGCTTTGGGTGCCTTCTGCAGAAGAAGATAAGTCATAAGAAATTTCCATTCGAAAATTCAAACTAGTTTCACATGCAGCTTAATGAGCTTATTAACAAAATCACTTCATCATAATCAGCTTGTGTGATCATGAGTTTTATTTCACCTTTGCAGCGGCTTTCTTCTTGGCCTCCACTGGAGCTGCTTTAGGTTTCTGCGAAACAAAGAGACAGTTGACACTTTAAAATCTAGTTATATCTAAAATATTATTCACTGTTTGTTTCATGCTGTTCTGAAATGCCAAATAGATCCTAATAGTTTAATAAAAACTGAAGGCTCAGTATGTAGATAAAATATGTTAATTTTTTCATGGTGCATTCAGTAAACAAACACATGGCAGGAAAAAGAATCCTGAGTGAGCATGAGACTGATTGAATGTTAGGCTTACCAGTGCCAGTCGTGGGGAGGTTCTTCTTTGCTGCAGAAACAGGAAAAAAAGAGCACAAGTGTGAATACAAAATGACACATTTAAATATTTCATATAATAATGACACAAATGTCACAACACGCGAGGTAGTTAAATGGCTTTTGCAGTCTAAAGTGAGATAAAACATTGATCTAAAAACTGGCAGAAATAAAAAAAAATTACCTTACATGTCAAACACAAAAGTTATATAAAGTTATATATAAAGTTAAATTAAGAGGCCTTTATGGGTTTACATCTGTGCAAACTTTATCTTTACAAAATCACAATATCAAAACAAAGGGGGAGTTTTAAATAAGTAATGACATACCTCAGGAGGGACGGTTTGCTGCAAGAAAAGAAAAAACACACAATATTAGAATCCAGATAAATGCATCACATATTCAAACAAAACTGCACAGTTTCTGGACAGGCAGGAAAATAAAGGAAACAAAAGCCAAGGGCAAAGTAAAAAAACAGGCAGAGTGATACTGGTCCTGCAGCTCACAAAGGGCTTCCCGCGCATATTTGAATTCAAATTGGGGCCGTCCTGTCACAATGACACGGCTTTGGCGCCCTGACAGCTTCCTTTGTTTTGTATCAGTGCGCGCCGACAGACAGCTGAAGGGAAACTGATAAGATTACTATTTGCTAATCCACAGCTACCCCCATAAACGCGACCAAACGCAGGCCTACCGAGGTTTGCGAGCCAACTGCAATTCTATTTCCAATTTGGATACCTTGAAAAGCTGATTTCCTGCGAGCGATCGCGCAATCCTGGCACTTCAATGTGCTTTTTTCAAAAAAATATCCACAAACACCTAAAGTGCACCAATAATAGTTCCGGGCGTCGATTCGCCCAATCAAATCAAAATAAATCCAAACAAAAGAATAAAATATTGTTTTGCAATGCATTCAAGGTTTTTTATGCGCATTGTCTGGCATACAGCCACGAGTTAGATATTTCACGACCCCATGATTTTATCAAATTGACACACGAAACGTTAAACCGGTTTAATCGCCATGCACGACCCAACCAGATTTGTCCCATTTGAAACAGCGAAAAATTAATCATCAACACCTCCCCTCCCCCCACGCCTTCCTCAAAACTGTACATAATGCATATAACAATTGTATTTATTTGATAGTCGTGCACCATCAATGCAGTCTAAATTTAATTTGGAGTTTTATATTCGTGTTTAGTGATGACTAAACGATCGCTTGCAGCGCGTGAGAAAAGTTGGTAACTGCGTACAACCTGTCAAGGATTTGCCCAGCCTCCAGTTTAAGAGGGAAAAGACAGGCGACAGCAGAAATTTCACAAATAAATACCGATTGCTGCTGTTTTCACACGCTAATCTCTCGTAAAATGGATTATTTGCATGCACTTCGTCGTGCCTGAACAGTTAATCCATATTTGAGACAACTGGCAAGAGCGTAAGCTTTATTTTCGACGACCGAGAGGATGCTTGCACAGGTCTTCGCTGTCAGGCCGCCATTGCTCTAACGTTTGTTAGGGATGATGACGTTCAGCTGATGCAGAAAAAATTGAACGCAGCCTAATGTTAAGGACAAGTTACCACCGCGATTCTCACAAAGACCAAAAAATAGTAAAAAAAAATATAGAAATCTCACCTTTGCCTTTCCCATGTTATTTGCTGGAAATACACAGAATGCTCAAAAAATTACAGCCGAAAAACGGGCTTTTTTCGGTGAGACAACACACGACGACCGGGCAGACGCTTCGTAAAATGGCGAATGTATAATGCAAACGAATGTTTTTGTAGTTTATACAGTGAAATATAGAACGAAACCGGTTTGAACCAGTTTTGTATTTCGACGTTTGTCATTGGGTACAGATGTGACACGTGGTTCAAGGCTCCACCCATTTGTTAAAGAGGCAGGAAGCAAGCTTTTCAAGACTGGAAGGTCGTGCGGTTGCTGTATCCCAAGCCTCTGACTGTTGATAACTGGGCAGGTATCGGAGGAGAAAAAAAACCTACATATAAACTATTCACAGGATTTATTTTCCTAGCGATTAAGTGATAAACGGAGGGTCTTATGTTAACAAATCATTCAGGTTATAACTATACAGAGTTGTAGTAATGAAATGTAGTAACTAATAGTAATTCAATCTTATTAAGCATGCTTGGGTTTACTGAATGATTGCAAATTCCCTCCTGATATGTTTAAGTCATCATTTACTATCTATTTATCTAGATTTATGATTATAGATTCCAATGTGCATAATATACATGTAGACAAATTCAAAATGCATATTTTGATATTATCCTAAAGGCACTAAGTCAGTTGATGCTTTGAATACTCTTTAAAATCATATTCTACCCCACTTCTATCATTTTAACTATACCATAACAAGAATTGAGACTTTTGGGGAGAGACTGGAACAGGAAAACTCAATACTTTTTAAACAACAGGTTTGTATATCTGGGATATACAAACCCTCTATTTAAAAATTGTGACTACCAGGCTGCCTTTATTATTACTTTATAGTTTACTTTGCAATGGCATTAGTTGTACGACATCCAGTTAATCTGTTATTAGAACCAGTCACTCAAACACATTACTTAATAGTACTTATTTCACTGTATGTAACTTTGTGCTAAGCAGAGGAGAAATAAATGTAGCGTTTTTTATTAACAGGTCAGTGGGATTACAACAAATTAACATTCTTTTTAACAGAGAATCTGTGTGTGTTTCTAATGGATGGCTGCTGAATGACCAAGTCTCATAACCTGAGATGTCTAATCTGCCTCTGAAAATGAAGATATTTAAAAGAAACACAGATTTGGTCACATCAAATTACTGTCGTGATAAAAAAAATATTGGAAAAATCCACTTGCCTTTACTTAAAATCTTGGGATTCACAAATATGGGACTGTTTAACATCGACAGCTTAATGCTTTTGCTTACATTAAATATGGAGCTCTGATTATGCTCTTTTTAATGCTCAAAATATATCATGTATATTCCAATTTAATGAAAGTTGTTTCCCAGTCATAAATTGATCAATCTAAAAAAACAAAAAATTTGAAGTGTTAATATATACAATACACCTTATACTGACAGGAATTACATATTTGGCTTATGTGTGTGCATGAAAAGTGTGAAACTGTGAAGGCCGCACAGAGAATCAGAGAGCCACAAAGTTCAGTAAAATAAATGAAATAATTACAGAAGTGCAACTCATTTAAACTATATTGATATACAGTTCTCAGTTTATTTTGCTTGAGAAAGCTGGTCAAAATATAGTTATATCTCCAAAATCCCACTTAACAAACACAAAAATATCAAACCATTTAGAATTCTCAGAAACACGGGGGTGTGGCTTTCACAAACAGTTTTCAACCTTTCGAACATTGGCATGCATCTGACAGTTTACACAACATTTTAACTGCATCTTGACCAGACATTTCCACGTATTAGACTTTGTAGATCTACAATCATAAATATCAGGGTTATTCTACAGCCCCATAGGGGTAAAATTGCCATCACGTTTTATACAAATCAGCAATAAAATGAAACCACTCTTGGTCACCGTGAACTCTTCCTTTTTCCACAGAAGCCCTTTTGGGAAGAGGACAGGAGAGGTTTCATTAATATTTCGGCAAAAGATTAGTTCCTCAGAGCTCTCCTAGGTAAAGACGGCTTCACTGCATAAGTCAATGAAGAAGGAGTCTCTCTTGTGCTTCAGTGCTTGTAGGAAGTCCTCAACTCGTGCTTCTCGGGATAAAGTGTAGCGTTGCAGGGCCTCTTGCCTTCTCTGGGCATCGACTGGCTTTCCATTCCCCTGATGCGGCAAGAGCTCTGCTACACAAGCACGATCTGCCTCCAACTGCTGTAGGGCCTGCTCGTCTCTATAGAGGTCTCTGGCTTTCTGGAATGCAACACAAGATATGAAATAATAAGTGTCGCTCCGCAAAGGAGACAGAGGATATGAACACCACGCTGAAGGCAACATCTTACTTTATTTTAATGAAAGTGTTCGTTCTAACCTGATACAGCAGCTATTAAAAAAGACAAAGTGTGTTTTTCTCCCCATTGGATAGCTGAATATTCTGTGTGATATGCACTGGATGACCCAATGCAGTAAATATATTTTTGTTTTCCTGGAAACATTGCAGCTAGTTTGTTAAAAGCTTTAAAGTACAGAAATTTGGCCAATTTTCGAGCAACAGTTGGATATAACAACTAAACAGGTGTTTTTTAGCTTCTGTGGAAATGTGCCCTAAACCAGTTTTCGTGATAGGCCCCCAGACATTTGATGTGGCACCGCTTTTTGGAGAACTGTTATATCGAACCTCTGATATACAAATTTGAATTACAATGTAGTGAAACTGTTTTTCACAGGCTTTCTAAAATCAGAATTATTCATCTTTAGAGTGAACCGGAGGATCTGTGCTCTCTTGTCCTTTTAGGCCACTAAAGCGAGGTCTTTGTACAGAATGAATAAAGTCAGCTGACAAATCCGTGCAACAAATTGTCCAATCTGCACACAGCCTCCAGCACACACTGATGACAGCATTCAAGCACACTGCTTAATATAGCATTCACTATGATCAAGTCCTTTTTAAAGGGCACAAAAAAGTAATCATTGTTAACTTCTTTCCAATTACAGCAAGACTTTGTTCTTCAAATTGGTTTGTCTTTATCCCATAAAGAAATATAAGAAACAAATAAGAAAAATAAAGACAGACAGATAATAATGAGGGTTACCTGGATGGATTTGTGATTTAACTGATACTGGATGATGGCGTCACACAGGTTCCAGAATGAGTACTCAGGCCACAGAACTGACTGAAACACCAGACAGGAGTGGGACGTCTGCAGAGGAATAACATGTGAAAAAAATCAATAAAAGTCACTGAGTAGAGGCCGGAAAATGTTTCATCAAATTATACTCTTTTAGTTTAAACACATTTTACATGGTTTATGTCTCCCTTAAACTGGAAGCAAAGGGGCAGATGTTCTTAAGGTAATGTTAAGCCACAGTAAGAAAAAAAACAAAAAAAACAATCGGTGCTTTGTTTGGCCAATGCCTTTAAGCCCAGCTTTGTTTGAAATGTGGCACTTTGTCAAAAAACCTGAAATACATGTATAACTCACTGCCCAAAACAAATTTAGAATAAGAAAAACTTATATTGATTACTTAAATCTCATTTGTAAAATGATAACCTTGATCTGACTGTAAGCATGTACTACAAATCTTCAAAGGAAACCTAAAACACAAGAGTCACGTTTGAGTGATTTCTGTTGCTCAAGACGTCATTTTCATTCCATACCTGCCAGAGGAGGAAGTCGCTGAGGCGCACCTCTCCTGAGGTGCGGATGAGCAAATCAGGATTGGGAGAGTTACTGCTGTACAGGCACTCGCTTAGCAACGCCTCGGAGACATCGCTGAGCATGACAGAAACATGAACAGCTTGCAAATGCGCTGGCCTTCAGATTATCTTCCCAAATGCTATTTAACATGAGGTATTGAAGAGATTAACTCTAAACAGTCTGGAACATTGCTTACCTTGCTTTGATCAGACCCTGCTCCACTCCCCAAGCCATTTCCCTAACTGCATTGGTGATTTCATATCTTGATGTGTAGGCAAAGCACACATTGAGAAAGCATCTAGAAAACACAAAGAGAGATGACAGATTTTTCAGTTCACAAAAAAACAAAAAACAATTGTATTTGACTCATTAATGAGGGGGGCTGACAGCAGAAGCTAGGTTGAATAAGCATACTTATTGTGAGTTTTGGTTGACATCACAGCTTTGGCAATGAGCTGCTGAAGGTCTAGAGGCAGCATATTCAAGTCGCCCAGCACCCGGATGCAAACACCATGTTTTTCCAGATTTTCCCTGTGAGAAAGGAGAGGAAGTAAAGTAAAGCATGGAGAGGAACGCCGTTTCTGTTGGGACACTTGAATGCGTGTGTCTGCATTTCCCATGCAGAGACACAAAATGCCCACGTGCAAGAACTTCCACAGTAAATGAAAGAAAAGGTTTATTCAGTTTCATATATAACTTGTGTACTCATCATATCAGCACATAAATACCATAAATCCTCCTCTTGGTGGCAGCAATCTCACAGTCACCTGCTAGACATCTTGATCAAAGAATAACAAAGTAGGGACCTGAAGTATTGCTGACCTTCCGGCTTATTTAGATATTTAATAATATGTCACTCTAATGTTCTGTGACATTTTTTAAGACATTTGATTGATTGTAAAAGAAAGAAATGGTCGATCATGAGGCTGTTAGTGACGGCCTGCCACTTCTACCTTTCAGTATTTCATTATTGAGCCTTTTCATACACAATGATAATTCATAAAAATGGCTCAGAAACACCTCAAACAATGACAAACTGTCATGCTGGGTGCATTTTCACATAGCAAACAAACTATAGACAAAGGTTACAATTCAAGTCATGAGGGAATTATTCTTGATGTTGTAAAATAATGCCTAAGGTCATCTGTGAAACTGGCCGAATGGAACAAATCCTTTTAACAACCGTTAGGAAACTAGTCGTCTCAAAGCAAAGATCCCTCAAACTAAAGCTAAGGTTGTATCTGAAATCCTAATTCAACACCTCACAGATCACAAATGTATACTAAATTCACTATTTTGAAGCAACATCCAAAGGGGTAATGAGATATTTTACAAATCCTATAGTTTTCTTACAAAAGTATACCACAATTCATCCTGATAAGTCATCAATGCTCAACAACCCAATAATTATAGAATAAAATACCGCCCAAAAGGAAAGGCCAAGATATCCAGCAGCCCGGCAGCAGCTAATAAACCTCTCTAAGTACAGGGTACAAATTTTGTAAAAAAGTGATCTGCCATCATCAAGATTAGGCTGTAGGGATCATCGTTCATGGGGTTTTGAGCACAGCCTGAAAAAGACAAGTCCGTTCTTTAAATACACCAGTGGGATAGAAACATTTGGTCAGTTCCTCTAATAGTTCTTCAAGGAAGTCGTGAATCATATCACATACAAAGACCCAAGTGTGATTCCCCAAAAAAGAACTCACCGCTCCTCCAGTATCTTCTCAAATTTCTGCTTGGCCAGCTCCATCAGCCCATCCACCTCGTCCTTGCTGCGCTTGAAGTTCTCGATGCTGAAGGCGTACACCGTCACCTCTGGGATGTTAAGGTGCTTGCACCAACGTAGTGTCTGGGGTGGAAAAGAAAAGGGCTTAAGGTCATTGCCTGAGCTATCTATTTACACCCCGATGTCAGTCGTTTCCCAGGCCCAATGAAAACTGACCTCTGCCAGCTTGTTGAAGCCCTGCATATGTCCCTCCTGACGCTCCATATTTTTCTTACGTGCAAAGCGCCGATTACCGTCCATGATGAAGGCCACATGTTTGGGCATGGGTCCTGCCTGGACGATGCAAAAGACAGACGTTATTAAGCATATTATGTACATACATATGTACATGTAATCAGCATTAAGGGAGTAACTTTAACAAACTAAAACCGATATTCACATCTAACGAAAAACAAATGAGCATTTTTATCTTTTTTATGCCTTTATTGAAAATTAATACTTGTTTGTCAAAATTTTGACCTTTATATCTCTGTCTATGAAACCGCTGCACATATTTACAAAGAATGAAGGATGCAGTTTGAAGCTTAAGACAGTTACCATTGTCGTTTAACCCAAATGCAATAAAAATAAAAACAAAAAAAAGTTCTGCGACAAAAATGAGTCGACCGTTTCATCATGCAGATGGCTCAATGGGGCTGAACAGTAGCTGTACCAATAACAAGGACCAGAGAGGCTAAGCCACACAAAAAGTTGTTTTCAGCTGGGTGACTGAGGGAAAAAGAGAATGGATCAGTGGAACACGTCGGAAGGGAAGTGCAACATGTGTTGTGTGGAAATACTTCAGTTACAGAGGGGATAATGCTGAACAGAAACAGATGTGTTGTCAGCAGTGCCTTGCCATTCTTCTGCAGAAGGTGAGGTAACAGACATGCCCAACCAGAGAATCAAGTACTGTGAGGCTGTATGTGCTTAATGGCACCCAAAAGAGGATGCCGCCATGACATGTGAGATCCTCAACTTCAGCTTAGCAAGTCAAAAAGTGCACCAGGATGATTAACTGTGTTAAAAAAGCATTCAGACCTGTATCAACATCTTCCAAAATATTGTTTTTTTTACACAATATGAGGAGGAAGTATAACAAAAAAATTTCAATGAGGGATTAAGAAAAAATTAGACTGGATATCTAAAACATGTCTTTTTCTGATTCTGCCAAAGATTGATCCAAGTTTCAGTTACCACTGAAAGGAGAACGTGTGTGTATAAACGGATCAGATAAACATTTTGAGAGCGGCTCGCCCTGACCCTCCCCACTCAGCAGACACACATCTAAACACGTAGGACCACACACTCCCTATGCTCCTCATTTCCTAGATCATAAAAAACAGTTCTGTTTTACCAGTATTACACACTCCTGTCACTCGAATGTTACCACAGGCTGTGCAAAAATACAGAGCACTTTTAACCTCTATTGGGGGACAATAGTGAACTGCAAAGAATTGCATGGATGTAAATAAATGCAGGTCTTTATTATTTTCACTAAAAACTGAAGCTAAACACATGAACGGCAAAACTGAAGCAATACTAGAGGAGGCACAAACTAAGTCTAGAGAGAGGTCTGAAGCAAACATACCCCAAAACAAAAATAAAAACCACTTACCTTTAGGACATTGGCAGAAATCTTTTCAAGCAGGTTTAACTCTCCTTCTCGTATCCACGACATTTCCAGTCTTTAACCGATCTGCAATCATGTGATTTAAAACGTGCATAAAGTGCTCATGACTCAACAACTTAGGGCAAACGTCTTTATAGCTTAAAAATGAGCTTCTGTCAGTAAGTAATCAGATACGCTATGTACAGGACACATGTACGTGCAATATTACATTTCTTTTGCAGCCTGTGATTGATTTAACCGTCAACTGGAAACCGAGCTCACGAGACATACAATGACCTAAACTGCTAGGAGGCTAAAAAAGCACAAACCGAGGCGCCAGTCGTCCAGAAAATCTTCACCCTCAGAGGAAACGGCTTCTTTCATTCAAACTACTGAGGTACACGTTATTTCTTTCTCAAAAGCTACGACCGCTCTCTCACATCTCACAGAGCCTCCAACTCACAGGTTTCTTACGATGACGACCACTTCCGCATCGGAGCCAAGTGACGTACAGCCGAGATGACGACTTCCTGTCAGACGTTAGTCGAGTTTAAAACCCGCACGTGGTCCGTTTGTAAGTTGGATTTAGAATGAACTTACTACAAACGAAACAGTAAAACGGACAAATGTAGTAGTGGAGTAAATTCAGCCCAAAAGAACACTATGTGAGCAAAGTTACTTTTGTGAACATAAACGTTACCCTCCATATATGTAAATTCTTGAAAGAAAATGTGAAGAACAAGTTTCTGCAAAGTGCATAGAGAGCAGAAAATGTGACAGTGTTTAATGATAAAACTCAGATTTCAACATTCTATTTCAAAAGAACATTTTAGTGACAGCTAATAGATCATTTGATGAGATCCTAGCCAAGCAAACAGCTAGCCACAGAACAGATTTTAGTTACATGTGTCAATATCAATAAACACAACATTTGAAATATAATAATTGTATCTATTTATTGCAAAATTTCAAAGTGATGCAATCGGCACATTTAAAACAAAATAATAATATCGACATGCTTACCACTGAAGCATTTCTAAAGCTGCAATGCACTTTTAGGCTGACTTTTTTTCTTGTCTTGCTTCATGTTAGATTTTAAATGCTTTATGCAAGTGGAAAATGTAAAAATAAAAAAAAGACTAAAACTTTCACAAACATTTTTGAATTACCCTTTGGAGCAATGTTCTTGTAAGACATTCAGACGTTCGTTTGGCAAAAGATAAATGGACTGCATTTACTACTAATTCATACTAAGCTTTCTTGAGCTTTTAGTAACAAACATAATTTCACACAAATTCCACTTATATAAATGCTGTTTTTATCATACATACATACATACATACATACATACATACATACATACATACAT